CCGGTTTGGTGGCCGGAGGAGGGAGAAACCGCCGGCGAAAACTCTGTCAAAAAAGGGTTAAAAACCAGAATCCAATTTTCAAATAATTACGATTATGCCACTGAAGGTATTTTGATCGTAACTTTCTCGTTACAACTCCGATTCAAGCCCACTACGTGTCTACAGACTCATCTCAGTACGATCTACGTAAAAATACAACCCGCTGCCCCAATTCCTTCAAGAAATAAAATGACCAAATTACCCCTACTCCGAGGGCAAAATTTTAAATTCATAAATCTTGAAATTAATTAATTAACCATTCCTTTAATTTGGGTCGGGATGTTACAGTGTAGTGTTTGAAGGGGGGGTTTGGAAATTGAGGATACTAGAGGGAATCCGATTGATAAGGTATGCTGTAGAGAGAACGGCTTCCCCCAAAAAAGACCAAGGCATATTGGCACCAAAGAGAGAGGCACGAACTACTTCCAATAAGTGTCTATTCTTTCGTTCAGCCACACCATTCTGTTGGGGAGTGTAAGGGCATGAGCGTTGATGTATGATGCCATGATCTTGGAAGAACTGATTCATATCATAGTTGAGAAATTCTCCGCCATTATCGGAACGAAGAACCTGAATTCGAGTATGAAATTGAGTCTCTACCATGTGATAGAACTGCTGAAATTTGGAATTGACTTCCCCTTTGGTTTGGAGAAGGGAAACCCAGGTCATACGTGTGCAATCATTGATAAATGTTACAAACCAACGAGCACCACCTGGAGTGGTAATTCTAGCCGGGCCCCAAATATCAGAATGAACAAGAGAAAAAGGAACCAAACTTTTAGCTGAGCTTAAGGGAAAAGGAACACGATGGCTCTTGGCCAGCTCACAGATGTCACACTTAAAACTGGAAATTTCTAACTTGGAAAATAAGGTAAGAAATAGCTTATGTAAATATCCAAACGAAGCATGTCCAAGACGGCGATGCCATAACCATACTTCGGAAGTGTGCTTCTCAACACTCGCACCCCCAATTTTGTAAGCTTGACTGAGGCTGGCTTCATTGTCAGATGCCAAGTCCAGATAGTAGAGTTTGCCCCTCCTAGTACCACAACCAATCGTTTTGCTGCTGAGAATGTCCTGAAGGTTACAGTACAATTCAAAGCCGTAGTAATTTGGGCAACATGCAAGAGATTATGATATAAGGATGGAACAATCAACACAGAATCCAAAGTGAGGGAGTCAGAGAGAGAGAGGGAACCCTCTCCAATTACTGGGGAGGGGGTACCATTGGCATTAGACACAACCGATTGAGAAGACGGTGTATGAGAGGAAATTTGTCCAGGATCAAAGGTCATGTGATCAGTGGCTCCGGTGTCAATGACCCATGTGTGTTTCTTTGAAGAACTATGCAAAACATAGCCTGGGGAACCTGTGGTGGCAATTGTGGAGGATGAGACGATATCCACGGTAGCGGAAGGATTTAAGAATAAGAGAAAAAATATGTGTTTAGGGTTTTGTGATAAGAGTATATGAGGATTTGGCTATGAAGATCCGAATATGAATCTGTAAATATGAGGAATTTGAGTTAGGGTTTGTGTTTGAGGAAATTTGATATGAGGATTTAGGGTTTGTGTGTGAAGAAATTTGATATGAGGATTTAGGGTTTGTGTTTGAAGAACTTTGATATGAGGATTTAGAGATAACCGAGGATCGATTGCTCTGATACCATGCTAAAATATGAATATGGGTTTGAATGTTTTAGGTTAACTTTATTCTTCTCTATAAAGAGGTATATATATGAGTTTACAGAGTGCTTTACAAGGAATGAGATACAGTAAAGAATTAGGAAAGTATCTCCTAATTATACAAAGATTCATTAACTAAATAGAATGGGAAAGTAAATCCCTTAATTAATCAAGGAAATAAATCTCCTTGATTAATTAGGAGACTCACGTCAACACGTCTTACTACCCATATGCGAGGCACCGTCTTAGCCTTCCCTGACCAGGATCGCTCCTACACCCGTAGCGTTCGTGATTGGCCTACTCAACTGTGTATCGATCAAAATGTATGGCTGCTCCATCGTATTAGATGGTATGCAAAGCTCATCAACATTCTCTTGAGCATCTATTGTTTTACAAAAATTTGACTGATTTGAGTTGATAACAAATACTATTTGGCTTCAAATGCTTCATGTGTGAACTGAGTGTGCTTACAACTTGCTCATTCATATTAATATCTTCTTCTTCTTTGAATTTTTGTTTTCCTACCCAAGAGCACAATTTGTTATTGTCAAATCACAAGTTTCGGGGTACTTGTTTGGTAATTAGAAGTTTGGATTCTTGACATATAAGGTTATTTCCCATTCCTAATTTTTCTTTAGTAATTATCTTCTCATAGAAGATTCAAACAAGTCTGCTAGTTTTAGGGTTACCCAACTTATGTACTGTGAACTAGAGGTGGTGTACTAAACTTTTAAAATGTTCAAGACAATCTCGATGGTGTTACTTATATATTGTATTTTCTTTTCATGGATGTTCTCAATTTCCTGACTGAGATTACTTTCTGGAGCGAATATAATTTGAAGTTGGGGGAACTCTAGCAGAGCCTATTAAGGATGTTTAATTGTATTATTTTGAGTGCATATGTTCCAGTATAGGTGTATTAGCGTAACATGACTATCTGTTGTTCGGATACCTTTAAAAGAATGTAATTTATTAGCGTAACAATTCTCTAGATGGACGAAAATTGACGGAAAATATTGGTATCATGATAGCGAGACAGTCCTTCAAATTGTCCTTTTTGTACGTACACGAGACTACATTAATTTACTCTGCATATCTTCTTCTTTATAACAAGTTTATCAACTCAAGTGCTCTTGCTCTGTTCTTTTTTCTTTTAACAAGCTTATTTCCTTTTTTTTTTTTTTTGTTGCTGCAGACAATGCATTTACATTGAAATGACAAATATGCCGATGATGGTCGTCATGAATGTAAGTCGAACGACGAGTGCATCGATTATCATCGTTATAGAAACAAGCTAAAACAATGGTGTGCTATTGAAGTCTTAAAGAAAGGTTCTTCATCCAGTAGTTCTTCTTAAATATTTGATTTTCTTTTATCAACGTATTTAGTCTCAATTTATGTACTGTGAACAAGGGGTGGTGTACTAAACTTTTAAGGTTATTCAACACTAGTACTGGTAACTAATTTATCTTAATTTTCAAATTAATAACTATATGTATGCACTATAATGGAATATTAATTGTTTTATACTATTTAACAGCTCAACGGTCTCCTAAGGGAGACATATATGGGATGGGTGTTGTGTTGCTCCAGTTAATGACCAGCCGGATGCTAACGAGACTTGAGATAGATATAAATAATCTTGAAGGCAACGGTCCTATTGCTACGTTTGAGTATTTAGAGGCCAATAATGACAACCCTCGCAATCTGGTGGCTATAAAGTACTAGGTTAAGGGTTTCTTTAGTAGGGAATTGTATTTGAAGAATAGAAGAATTGATCTTGTTTGTGTTGCAAATTATTCAGAGTTCGATGCTCAAGAAATTTATGGACCCATCTATCAAAGGACAGTATGCCACCTGAGCAGCCTCAAGAGGAACTTGGTAGCCCGGCCCTCTATGCGGGAGGCTATGTTGCACGGACACGAATACGGAAACACGGAAATGCGACATGGCGACACAAGAAATATGCGAAAAAAAAAAAATTAATTTATTAAGTTTATATGAATTATTATTAAATTAACACATTATATTGACAAACTTTTTAAATAATTTACCCATTAACCATTATCATGAAACCAGGCCTTAGCCCATTAAGTTGCTATTTGTTTTTAATTACAATACAAAATGATACCAAACGTGTTTGACCAAAAAACCTAAAAACCAAACGCACGTTTCACCTAAACTTAGTGGGCTTTACCCACATGACAATGACATCATTCTTCCTTTTTCTTTTTTATGGGTAAAAACATATTGGTGTTTTGAAAAGACAAAAAAAAGTCAGAAATCCTCATCATCTTCCTCGCGCTGACACAACACCTTTGCAACGAGGTAGTCGCCGTCTGCAAATCAAGCAAGTAAGGCCTACCATTTAAAACAAAAAGAAGCAGCAGCACACGCGTTGATTTCTACACACAAAGCCTCCTCTGCAACTTAGAATATTTTTCAAGAATTTCCGAGCCGTGTGTCTTGACCATAGTGTCTTGAGCGTGTCCAGGGACGGACCCAGGATTTCAAACTTGACTGGGCTAAATTTACCTTACATATAAACATACTAAGTAGATAGAAAACTACAGTTAAAAAATTTCTTCTTTTTTCCTTTCTTTTTTTCCACAGGCTGTGTGCATTCCCTTTTTTTTTTTTCTCTCCTATGTGCCGTTGCTATAGGCTGCAGCTTTCCCTTTTACTCCCCACATGCAAGCAGTGTAAGCAAAGGATTCCTAAGATGGGTAGGATTAGAATATTCACTTGGATGGCTGGCTGGCCATCACTTGGGGTGACACCAGTCCCAAAAGAACCGGGCCACCTCCCTCTTTCCATCTTGACCGATCTCAGCCGCTGGAACCACCTGTGATCGCCGGAAAATGCAAAAATCCGATCGGTTTTAACCCAAAATTCACGGAGCTCGTTTGGGTGATTCCGGGCACCAAAACTTGCGATCTTGGTATGTTTTTCTAACCTCTTGACGTGATCTAGCTGCTTGTTGGGTTAGGTTTGAGAAATTTCTGCGTTTTGGTAGTTAATTAAGCGATTGAAAAATCTGCCAGTTTCGACCTCCGTTTTCAGCCACTTCCGGTCACTTTTTGGAGTATGTCCAAGAACAAAAGTTGGATTTTTGGGAAGTTAGATGAGGAAAATTGCTTGTGGCCTTAACAATTATATTTGAGTTTGTAAATTGCCTTGCTTAAGGCATTATTTCACTTAAAGGTTTTTGTTGGCTGTTTTGTTTCAGATTGAGTGAAGGCCAGAGGCCGTTTATGTGAATTGCATGAGATTATATTGTGCGTGCTGCCTGTTGGGACATTAAAATGTGAATTTTGTGCAGGTTGAAATTTGGGGAATGTTCAATTTACAGGGGAGACTGCCGAATTTTCGGTGGAAAGTCTCGTGCCCTTATTCCTTTTTGGGAAAAGAGGATATAGTTTCAGTGAGTGGGCTTGACATCGGGGTGATGTCGGGATTTCCATAGGATTCGTCTTAGGTTTCGAGGAGTTCGGGGCGGGTCCTGTCAACTTTAAAGATGGAGGTTGGGTTAAGAGTGGGCCTGGGCCTGGACAAACTCCGACGGGCCTGGGCAAAATAAATCTCCCAAGAGCTTGGACAAACTCAGACGGGCCTAGGCAAAATAAATCTCCAAAATAAATCTCCGAATGGCCTAGACAAACTCCAACGGGCCTGGGCAAAATAAATCTCCGAATGGCCTAGACAAACTCCGACGAGCCTGGGCAAAATAAATCTCCGAAGGGCTTGGACAAACTCCGACGGGCCTGGGCAAAATAAATTCTCAAACATAAAACCCACAACCGGGGAGGTACCTAAGGTAGTGCTAATAACACTCAAATTAACATTCTAAGTACGCCATACAAAATCAGCAAAGATAGCACTTTCTCAATTATTGTAAATCTACACTCAAGATATTCAAATGTATCCAAACCCAAATATACAACACAAATACTTCATAATATACCAAATCCATTAATCAAATATATAATATATTTCAAATGAATCATTAAAACAATATACATAAACTTTCCACACTTGGTCAACTGGGCCCGCGGGGCCCACGACCTCCGTTTTACGATCCAAATGTTCCCATGGATTCCTCAAGATTTAGGAAACATGTCCTACAAGTATGGTTCAGATTAGACGGTCGGATCGCTCACGATCGGACGGTTATCGTAAAACACAAACTTAAGTTATTGAATCGGAACATCCGGGGCTCCGATTCACGATCCGTCGAATCCTACACGATCCTAGGAATACCTAGATCAACATATATTAATTTGGAAGTGATCCAACGGTTCTAACATATCGAACCCGGATACACACGATATGTAAAATTCATTCGGGGTTCAAACGTTATCCGAATTGAGATCCGCGAATTCCTACACGCTCGTGAAAACTAGGAGATCGCATTGGGACAAAATGCCCCTCTGATACAGTACCAACGCGCCGCCACACGCGCTGGCAGCGCGTGGGTGTCCAAAGCGATATCGCATCGCCGGAAAATCTCATAATCTCGGGCCAAGACTCCTACCCTAAGTAATACCCCTAATTTGGAGTCACTTTTCTTCTTGGACATACCCCAAAAAGTGACCGGAAATGGCTGAAAACGGAGGTCGAAACCGGCAGATTTTTCAATCGCTTAATTAACTACCAAAACGCAGAAATTTCTCAAACCTAACCCAACCAGCAGCTAGATCACGTCAAGAGGTTAGAAAAACATACCAAGATCGCAAGTTTTGGTGCCCGGAATCACCCAAACGAGCTCCGTGAATTTTGGGTTAAAACCGATCGGATTTTTGCATTTTCCGGCGATCACAGGTGGTTCCAGCGGCTGAGATCGGTCAAGATGGAAAGAGGGAGGTGGCCCGGTTCTTTTGGGACTGGTGTCACCCCAAGTGGTGGCCGGATGCGACGGTGGTGGCCCAAAAACCCCGGCGGTGAACAGTAACAGGGGGGGTTTGTCTTCTGCGCGAAGGGAGAGAGGAAGAAGAAGAAGAAGAAGAAAAAAAGAAAAAGAAAAAGAATAAAACTGCCCGGTACTGTAGCACGGTACTGTTGCTACAGTACAATTTAAAAAAAATTCCATATACGTCCCTTTTGTTTTCAAACTTTTTCTCCTTCGTTACAAGTCGGAATTGGGCATGCCACATGTCTACGAACTCGTATAGACGAGCTCTACGCAACGGTACCACTCATTTTCCCAAAAACCTTCCGGATTAAAAAGTGACCAAAATACCCCTATCCCCAAGGGTAAAATTGTAATTTCTTAATCTAATTAATTAAATAATTAATTGGATATAAAAATGAGGGTCGGGGTGTTACATATACAGCACCTGTAAAAAACACAAAAACCGAAAAATTCAGTTTCTTCTTCTCATAAGGCATATAATCCTTTTTTTTGCGTTTGAAAATTGTTGAAGTCTATTTTTGTACGGTTGCCATCTTTCTTTAGGACTTGAAGAAAAAATAAGAAGCACACACTTATCCCAACCAATTGTCAATTGACACCATTAGCTAATTCCTATGCTCTATTCACAAAACTTAAAACAATTAATTGGAAATTTCAGCCTAGAAACTCACCTCCTGCTTAACATAACTGAAAACACCAACCAAACTGCTCTATCCAAAGCAACAAAAGAGCACCTGCAAAATATCAAAAGAAAACATGGGTTTAAAAAAAATAAAAAAATAAAAAGAGAGGAAAAAGGAAGAAAAAACAGAAAAAGTGGAGAAGAAATTAGCTTGCGTATTTTTATACATGCACAATCTTTTCATAAAACCAAAAGTTTAGCCTGAGCAAAATCTGCAAGGCAAGAAATGACTCAAGATTACCCAAATTAATGTGTTTTGGGCAAAGAAAAACACTGTAAAAGCACGGGAAAATGGCTGTTTAAATGATCCTAAATGCATATGAAACAAAGAATATAAGATCAAAAGTTACTGGTCTAAACAATCAAAAGTTACCTATGCAAAAGTCACCCTAAACAATCAAGATTTTTTTATACATTTTTCAATTCCATTTTTCTGTTTTCCCTTTTTCCCCTTTTAACAGATATCAAAATCTCATACTCTGATTCAACAATTGAGTCATCTCAAAGTCTTTTCTAACAATCTAAAGATCAAGCTCCAATTTGTACTAAACATATATGCCTAAAAATCAACCCAAAACATCAATCAAAAAAAAAAATCTCATCCTCATTGTTAAAAATTGATGATCTTTTCTCACTTTAAAGTTTTTTCCATTATTAATTGAAAAAAACAAACATTTATTAAAAAAAAGTTCTTTCACTAACTGTATTGCAATACATAACACAACAATTTCTTTTGTTTCTATATAATATCCTAATTTCCTTTGTTTCCATGGAAAATTGGCATTTTTCAGATAAGGAAAAGCCAGAGAACAATTTCATTAAGTAGAGTCTCAATTGCATTGCATTGGACACTTGTTTTTTTATTTTATTTTTCAGGTTTAATCCAAAAGAAACAGAAAGGAGGGGAAATATTATGCAGATAAGATTCAAGTCTCTGACTGACATATAAAAAAAACACACACACTGAAAAGCATTATCCTGAACTGAAAGCTTTCAATTCCCATATCAATATCAAATTCCAAAAAGTCCAGCTTCTAAAAACAAAATACATAAAAACCAACCCATGAATCAAAACAGCATAAAAAATAACCCAAACAAACAGAGAAAATTGCACCAAGATCCATGATCCATCTATTTATACCGTCACTCTATATATTAGCTTGCTTTCAGAGCCTTCAACTGTTGAATGAACATCAAACCACTAAAAGAAAGAAAGTCTCTTGACAAAAAATCTCCCAGCCAAGAAATTCTTCATATGGAAGAAATACTTGGGAATGGAAGGTATGATTAAAATTCAGAATTAGAATTCAAATATTGGAGGTAGTGTTCAAACTTTGAACATCTCTAACATGACATCACCAAATCAGTAAATATTACATAAAATTAGTATTAAAAAACATGAACAGAAAAACAAAAAATAAAATAAGAAAGCAAATATTAACAACAATAGATCATTACACAATTTGTGTAATTAGTGCCACATGTGCTACATCTTTAACAGTGTTTTGATATGTAGCCAACCTTTTAAAAAAAAAATCTCATCCTCATTGTTAAAAATTGATGATCTTTTTCCACTTTAAAGTTATTCCCATTATGTTGGACAGGCCAAAGACATAACAGATTTAGGTTCCTTGAAGGAGGCAGCAAAAATCTTCATTCCAGGTATATTGTAGCATGAATTCTGTTTTCTCAGCCTCTCTAATTCTATAAACCAAATACTTCAATATATAACTTTAATTTTCTGTAAGCGTTGATCTAGATTTACATTCCCTTTGTCCTGACAACTCAATCGAACATCTCAATCAAAATCACAAAACCACTCTCTCACTCAGGATTGAATCGTTGCACAGACTGTGATTTACATAAGCCTGCGGCAATCCTAATATCTAGAATATTATGTTCAATTGTAATTTTAAAGGGCAAACCATACACATTCAAGCAAGAACTCTACAGCATGCCTGCTCAATCAGGCCATACAATTTTCAGAACTTATGTACCAAGCATATCGAACTGACAGAGTAAACCATATGTTTCCCCAGACACCATATGCTTGAGAGTCAATCTAGATAAATGGGTTTTAAAACATGAATTATTTCAAGAATATAAAAGGAAACCTTTCTTTCTAGTTGAACATAGGGAATTTAGGATAGAATTTAAGAACCTGTGACATATACAGAAAAGCTTCGCAGTCAAAAACTATATTTTTCATATACAGAAACCAAAGTTTAAGCCACATAGCCATGTCTCAGAGCATACGGTGAAAAAATTGACGTGAGCAGAACTTAGAGAGTACACAAAGAAGGGAAGATTGCACTTTATCAGTATGGTTGCTGGTTAATCATTCCCAATTTCTATTTTGTCGAAACCTGATTAATCTTCACTTCTTTTTCCCTTGTGTTTTATCATTAATTTTTTTCTCCATATTTAGGATACAGCAACCAAAAGCAGATAAAAAAAGGAAATTTTTTTTTTTTTAAAGCACGCTTGGTCTTTGCTTTCCAGTGTTTTATCGGCAACCAAAACAGAAATTGGGAATGATTTCCATTTCTAAGATTTCTCCAAGAGAGCAAAGTCATTGAATCGACAATTGATTAAAAAAATTAATAGTAAGAACGATGGAAATACCTGAGCTAATCTGTGAGATTCAATCCCCTTCCTGATAGAACCCAATATGTTGTGAAATCAAATTAACCAAATAAATTAACCCAAATTCGTAAAAAATAAATCAAAAATACTCTAAAGATAGAACATGCCCACGCTCTACAAAGGACGAAAAATCTCCCAGCCAACAAACAAATTCATGAAATGAAGACCAAAAGATCTGTTAAAAAGTTGACGGGATGCATACCTGAAGACAAAGGATGCAAAAACTCGCAAGCAAGAAAGATGGAAGACGTCTGAGTCGAAGGCTGTAGAAACGACGAGAAATCTCCCGACCACAAATCTGTGAGACGAAGACTAAAGTGCGGCTGGATTTGCAGCGCACCTCCCAAACGAAAATCGACGGCCCCCCACGCATGTCTAACAATGAAGGCAGATCTTCCATGGCTGCCCCCAAACCAGCTGGTTCGAAATGGACTGAAAATGGACGCATTCTCTGAGCGAACGAAACGTTCGCAGCGGAGGGGAAGGGGCAAAAAGGGAACAGAAGAAGATGTTTAGTTGAGGGCATTTTCGTCAATTTACTGTTATGAAGAGAAAACAAAACCAAAAAAAAGTAAAATGAGGGGCATTTCCGTCATTACACTGTGCTTAAGAACAGTGCTAAGTTGGATTGCCGTTTAGTATATAAATAATTTGGGATTTAAAGACGATTCCCTTTTTAATTTCACAACGGTCTTATGAAATCTCATAGACGACCTAGCACTTGCTTGGTCCTTATTGCTTTTGATTATTATGTCAATAATATAGGTTTTGCTTTCGGAGAAAAAGAGATTAAAGAATAAACTGCATGTCACTCCTATACGTAACAAAAGAGAAGCGAGTGCTTAAAGTGACTTTTGCTAAGTATTCAGGAAAATAGAAGAGAGAGGAAATCTGTAATTAAGAAAGAGAGCGAGCTTTGAGTAGAATGGTGGGAATCGAATCTGTTTTTCTTATTACCACTATACACGTACAGTAGAGCCTTTATACTTAAGCATCTGAGATATCAACCTCTAACAATCTTCACGTGTCCTCACGTGTTTAACATAACTAATTACAGACACGTGGCACACTAATTCTAATCATTAGCTAAACAACTTGATCTGTTTGTACAATATGTACCTAATAAAACACAACCTTAGCATTGCAAAATCACGATTTCACACAGCTCCCGCACAACCTCAGCGACTACAATGGGGAGCAATATATCTAGTTCTACATAGTTAATACTTAGGTTCATGCACTATCTGTATACTGGTTTTCTTCGTTTTCATTGGAATCGTTGTGAGAGAAGAACTTCCTTACACGCTGCAGCTGTTCTCGAACCCGATATCTAAATCTGAATTTCTTCACGGCATACCATTTTTCTTTGAGTGGGAATATTATGAATATGAAAAGAGCAAAAGCTGAAGAAACCCCAGTAACGAGAAATAAACCACGAAAGGTATGGAAGTTTAGAGTATTGGGATCACTCGTTGTGTTGTCAAACATGAGAATTTTTCTCTTCTGAAACCAGACCTTCTCCTTCTCTATAAGCTTTCCCTCTTCTCTCATTTGTTGAATTTGCATTGACATATCATGGACCAATTTCGAACCTTTAGGGAAAACCTGCATATACAAAAAAAGATGAACAACGAAATCAGCATGCTTACTTCCTGATTTTCCGCTTTTCTCCATATAGTTTTGATTTGCATTGCATATGTGCAATTAAATGGATGGACACAATCATAAATATAATGTTCTTAGCTCTTTTCACATCAATTTTCCATCTAGCCACATTTGACATATGTAACATATTATATTTGATTTAAGCTTAAGTACATGCACTTAATTGTCAGGATCAAATTGGAAAATCATAAAAAACTACAGAAACTATAAATGTTAAGATGTTATGTGGCCAAAATACAACACATGATTAATGCATAACTTAATTTAAGGGAGGTTACTCACGAAGCCAAAACCATTGGTGCTAGATTCGGATTTAATCATGGAGTAGCCAGTAGGATAGTGTGCAAGGAAGATCTTAATGTATGGAACCTCGTCAACGATAGCAGAGACACCACCATGCTTACTTCCTCTTGATAAAGCGTCAGCATATTCTTCAACTGACTTATAGTATTTAAGACCTTTGAAATTCAAGTTCTTTACCACTCCCTGGGTGAATGAACCTGCTTGGTAACCTATATAGTTCCCTCTTGAGTTTAATTGTATTTGGTTAACTGTCATAATTGATGTCAGAGTTGCTGTGTAACTGGAAGTCAATATAAGCACAGCAAACACCCAAATGATCACTACAAACTTTGCTAAATTGTTTAACAACTTCTCCCCTGCAACAAAAAGACAAAATTTCATTTCCAGGTGATTTTAGCAAATCAACTAAATCAAGACTGACCGCCAACTACAGCATCTATATTCGTAATTTGAGTTCGTTCTTTCATCTGAATGGAATTTGAGTCAGAAAAATATAATTCATAATTCTACTCTTTCTCATATCTGTGTTAATTAATCAGAAAACACAAGGGTTGTTTCATAGAGACTGAAAACTAATTAGCAGTAAACTTGAATAATTGAAAGAAGTAGTGAGATATAGAGCACTTACTATGAGCAAACACAAGGGTTGAGAAGGCAAACCATAATATGGTTCCGATTTGCTGCGAAGGTGTGCCTTGGAATTCTGGGTTGACAGGACGCTCAATTACCCACACAACGAAACCGGTCAAGATAAAGAAACCCGCACTTGTGATCCACAGATCTGCCGAAAGAGGTTTCAAGAAAATCCACATGTCTTCTTTTTCATTTGATACTAGCATCCCCACACCTAAGTCAGTATATGGTATTGTAAAATCAACATACTGAGATCTCTCCGATCTGATCGTGGTATCCCCAACAACAGCATCGAATGTCTAGTTAATATACATTCCCCAATATGCAAAAGTGTGTGGCAGGAAAACGAAAAATTAAAAATTAGAAAGATTAAATCATTAAATGTAATATAATGAGATGGAAATCTATTTTTGCATTACAAGTTACTAGCATACAATTACAGACGTATTTATGCAACATAATATTTATATTCCACCTGATATAAAATTTTAATTTCAAATTAAGCATACCTGGAGAACAACTTGGTGAACAAGATCATTGTAACTTCCATTAATGCCAATCGCAAATGGAACAAACTCATAATTTACTTCATAAGGCAATGCGCTAATTGCAGCCTCGAATACGTCTATGCAGAAGCCTGTGAAATATGTTCGATTGGTTTGAATATGATGGTTCATATAAACAAGTTCGAAGAACCCTTTTTTCACTGGAACGCCAATTCTTAGTTTTATTTCAGAACTAGTACTCAATTGCATCTTTGAACCTCTTGGGATGGTTGATGATCCTCCAGGCCATATGATTGTTTCAAGAGCGTTGGTGGAAAGTAAATTTCTTCTGTTATTAAGTGGGTAGGAATCTCTTGTGTGTTTTTCTTCTCATGGCCAAAATCCAACCCTTCTTTCCCCTTTTCCTATGACATTCACAATCTCAAATGCACTCGAAACTAGCTTCCCATTTGGATATTGAATTTCTTCACCGCTTAAACCCTTAAACCTTGTTTGAAATATCTCTTGAAGCAGCAGAAGTCCATGTTTGGAGGATGTAATATTGTTTAAATTCACTAGGTTCAATCCTGTAGAAGTCCAGGTCCTCTCAACTGCTTCAGCTAGAGCCCAAGTTGCATCATAAGCCCAAATTCCATCTGGGATTACCGCACTTACTTCTATATTAGGATCCTGCATATAAAATATCCTCCTCAATCTTGAAGTAAGATTGTGGAGGCGGGTTGATGCTGGAAAATAAGACTTCAAACCGAGCACTCCTTGCGTTGACTCAATTACCGATGAATCCATGGAAGAATGCAAGAAATTCATGCTAGTTGATGTCATAATCCAAGCATACCCTTCACTCAGTAGGCCTAACTTTTTTGCATTAAAAAAAAGGCGTGGAACAAGAAAATGTGATGTATGCACCACAAATACCGTCGTCTTCAACTTCGTGAGGTTGCGGAGCTCTTCAATGATCTGTTCATCTACTAAGGAGGCAGCAATGCAACTTTTATATACAATAGTCACATTTGCTTCTTCAAGGGAGTTGATAAAAATTGGAATGATGTCTCTCCCATAATCTGTGTTCTCATATAGAAGGATGACATCCCCCCATTTGAACATTTCAATAAGGCCACTGATTGCCGTAACTTGAGAAGTTTCATCTTGTGTGATCTCAACAAAGAAGTGATATTCACCAGGAGCACCGAAAGGACTAGTACGAAGTCCAGAAAGTGACAATACAGGGACTTTAGCTTCTTCTCCTAACTCTGCCAATAGGTTTGCTTCTATTCTTGTTTGTGCACCAATTATTGCTTCCACTTTGATCTTATCCAAAAGATTTAGAGCTGCATTTTGGTTGAAGATCGCGACTAGAGTTTAAAATAAAATTATATAATGATAGTTTCTTATAATTTTTTATTATTATAATCATTAAAGAAAATTAATTTTATAGTACAAAAACTAACTAAAATATTAATATGTGGCTTACCAGCTGATAGAGCATGTAGAGGTTTTCCTTTGGAATCTCTGGTGTGCAGAATTACTCTTGTGCTGTAGTTATTATGCAGATGGTAGAAATCAGACAGGGCTGTTGAAATGCAGCTGAGAATAATCTTTCCTTCCCTTGACCCCATATCAAGAATCACACCAACATGAACCTCTTTCACAACAATATTGGGACTGCCATCAATTTCAGCACACAAGAGACCTAGAAGGCTAAACAAGGTCACAAAGGACAGGCAGAGGATGGTTTGCTTCTTCCCTTGAAACTCCATATACATTACCAACTTAGTTTCTGCTTCTCTTGAATTAGTGGGAGGGGCCGTGGACTGCAAGATATAAGAAATTCCAGTGATTAGGAAATTCAAGAAAGTAATGTGAACAGATTGACCAAGACTTTGTGAAGTTTTTCTCCAGTTCGGGAGGGAGGACGAGGTGGACTTTGCCTCAGTTTCTCTTCTCTTCTATCTATCTAAAGCTTCCCCATATGTTTTTGCTCCTATTCATTCCCAGACCTTCAGGTACACTTCACGAAGCTCCCCTGCTGCTTTCATTCCACACAAGGCCCCTAAAAATGGTCCAATCTAAAGTCTTTTTATCAAGTCTCAAGTTGGCGCTGCTTTGAGAACGAATCTGCCAATTGGTTCACATTTGATTTGAGATATGGACGACCATTTCTCGACCATAGGGGATGCTTGGCTATATCTTAATATTTCATGGCATTGGCGCCCTGGTGGGCCCAAGAAAGACAATTAGGAAAGTGGGTCTGAAGCATGTCAATTTTCAGTGCAAAGTGGGTTATTTTAATCCATGTAATTTCAATTTTTTTTAAAAAGTACGAATTATTAAGATTTAGCCATGCATCCCCTATCGTCAAGAAATGGTGGACTAGAAACCATGCTCTGTCCCTTTCAACATGTTGATCCCAATCGTGGTGTGAAAGGTT